TTTAATAATCCTTATGAATTAATGACAATTATAGCAAACATTTTACAAAATTCTTATATAAAATCAAAACTTATTTTAAAATTCCTTTCATTTCTCATTTGAAATCTGTTTAATCGACCGAAAAGTGCAAAAAATGTTTGAGAAAGTGATCGAAGATTTTCGCAAAAATGGTTTCGCAGTCATTCCGGACTTCATTGACGGCAAGTTCGTCGAAGAACTTAAACAACGGATCCACGAGTTGGTTGAGGACATGGATGTGAACAAAGAGAAGCTAAACACAGACTCGACGACCAATCCTAATGTGGACGTGGAGTCTGCGGACAAAATCCGATTCTTCTTCGAGAAGGAAGCGTTTGACGAAAAGGGAAACCTAAAGATCAACAAACATAAGGCTCTCTTCCGGATCGGCTTCGCTCTGCACTGTTTGGACCCGACGTTCAAGAAGTTGACGTTCAGTCAGAAGGTCCAGACGCTGGTCAAGGAGTTGGGTTTCGTTGAGCCCCGGGTGGCACAGAGTATGTATATATTCAAGAACCCGGAGATCGGAGGCGTGTTTATCCCCCATCAAGACGCCACTTACCTGCACGCCGTGGGCGATGACCTCCGGGAGGTTGGCGTCTGGTTTGCGCTCGAAGACGCCACTGTAAGTCACTGTACAGTATATAACGCACAATGTTCTTGGTACTATTGATGAACAAAATATTGTGTGTAATAGTTTTTAAGGGACGGGTAGTTTTATATAACATTTAACTCATTCGATACTTAATTATGATTGAAATGTGTGTTTCTGTGGCACAGGAGGACAACGGGTGTCTGTCGTTCATTCCGGGCTCACACAAGACAGGTCTTCATCGACAGTATATCCGCAATGAGAAGGAAAACGATCCGCCGTTTGTGTTCACGAAAGACAACCCCGACTATAAGGACAGTGACTTCGTGGCGGCGCCCGCCAAGAAGGGGTCGGCCGTTCTCATCGACGGACTGGTCGTCCACAGGAGCGCTGAGAATCGGTC